ATAAATGTGTTATGAAGTTGGTTAAAAAAAAAAAAAAGTCTATATATACTGAAATGAAGAACTACCTAAGATCTATTAAATGATAAAGAACAGTGTAGGAAAGGCAAAATCCATTTACATTCTGAAAAATAAAAAGGAGAAATGGTTCATATGTACTCAATTCACAGTGATTGCTCAAAGGGTCCAAATAGGAGGTGGGGTGAGACAAGAACAGAACTTTATTTATACTATTTGAATTTGTCTTTGCTATCTGAATTTTTTCCCAAGAACATATATCACTTTGACAACTTTTTTTTTTTTTTTTTTTAAAGGACATCAACAAAAGATCATCTCAACTAAAGGCATACTGAATAATAAAGACACAAACTTCAAGGCAGTTTTTTTCAAACATTTACTGAACACAAATACCATTTTTTCCTTTTACACAGCAAGATTGTTAGTTTCAAATTAGCTGAGCCATTAGACTATCAATTGCCATGAAATTAAAAATGATTCTACATGTCAAACTCAAATAGAAAATGCCATGCAATATATAAATCACTAATAGACCTCTGGTGCAATCAGCAAGTTTACTATGTTTATTAAAGTTATGTAAATGGTTGACAAAAGTGCACAACAGAATGACATCACTGGTTCGTTATAAATCACAGCAAATTACTAGAATATAACAATGTAGTCCTCCACGTGGAGGACTGCAGGATGGAGGTGATTATTATAAAGGACAGGTTAGGCCAGTCAGATTTTACTCCCCAGCTGTGTACCTCTGAAAAGATGGGACAGGAAAGCTCAAGTTTTTCCCCTATCTTTTCTCTTCTACCAATTACAAAGCAACAACAAAAAGCCATGCACAAATTTTACAACACCTGATAAAAACAGATACAAGACCTTGTTCATTTCATAACTTGGCAAGCTTGCATCTTCTCTCCTTCATTTTTCTGATTAGACCATTCATCACGTGATTCCCCCTAAATAAAAAGCTGTTAATAATTTAGCAGTGCTCACCCTTGCACACACATCAAGACATACTACCCACAGCCATCAAGTCACACAGTCCCTTTCCCTACACATTAACACAAATGTTTACACTACAGTCTAGGACTAGAGACCACTTTTACCTTAGTTTTAAAATTCATATATAACCATGATCAATAGAGTATTTATTTCAGATCCCATATTTGAGGGAGTGGATGCTGTACCAACCATCCCATCTGAAGATCTAGGAAAGGCTGCCAAAATGTATGAAAAAGTCTTACAATGTATCAAACATTACTAAGCGCTTTCTCCTTCCAAAAGAGGGTATCCAAAGTAGAGCTGTGTGTTTTTAGAGTAGGAATGAGCACACAGCTTAAAATCTTATGGACTAATAATTTTTCATAGAGCAAAAGATAAAATGTTTTTTTTTTTTTTCCACTTATTTTAATGTTATAGTATAGTCAGTGTCTTGGCTGAGGAAAACAGAATAGACTTCTGTACATTGATACATCACTAGCCTGAAAAGGAACGTTTAAGGAAACCACCAAAAAAGAAGTCTTTTATACTTTTCTCCATCCACTCACTAGCCAACCACTGCTGCTTCTAAACCAGCAACTCGTGCCTTACCACACCCCCTTCCAAAGAGAAATGCATCTGCCTGAATAATCCCAAGTGCTCATTTTCATAAGGTAGCTGCCTCAACTATAGTGGAAACTGGTGACAGGGTGTTGTTCCCTTAGGATCTTGATTTTCAAAGACACTTGCCTATAAATACTGAGTTTGTACTTCAGGAACTGCTGCACTCAAATCACATTTTATTCAAACAGTGCTATCATACTTTCTCACAATTACCAGTTATTAATCAGCTATTAGTACATTAAATAAAACCCATCCCAGAATCAAGCAAGACCAACGCTTGCAGATGGTCTGCTTTGTGGTTGCTTGTTTAAAGTGCCATAGCAAGGAACCTTGAGGCAGCTGGACTGTGACCTAGCAGACCAATTCAGGGGAGAGTGAAGAAAACTCTGTTGACAGTGGCAGAGTTCTTGTGTGGAAAATGCCCCCCTCCTTTACCAATTGAGGGGATGGATTTGCTGCCCATTCCTTGAGTTAAACAGGTACCTAAATTCAAGAGTTCAGTTTTACCAGCTCTATTAAATGGACAAAACCCCCTCAGTTTCGCACGGTTTGCATGTGAGCCTCTAGTTCGCCTAAACTTCTATGACAATTACTGACACGACAAAGACATTTTGATTAATTTGAAATGCTATCAAGTGTTACAATCCAAGGCATAATTCTACCAATAATAAATATAAAATGACAAAAAGTGGCTAAAAAAGAGAGCAGAGATACAGACCTACCACCTTTCTTACCTATTTATTTCCCTTTAGAAAACAAACAAACAAACACAAGTTTGGGAAGGATTTGACTAAACATATTTTAAAGTAATTCTACTCAAAAAAAATTGTAAAAAACAGGCATGTAGATCACTTGTTTCAAGAATGGTTTTATACAGATGTTTCACAATACATATTTGGATTTATTTTACAAGACATCCTTAGCAATACAGTACATGATGTACTGCTTACTGTATTATAGTAAAAAAAATTATCAGTTACCATTAGCACAGTTCATAGTTTATATTCTACTGTCTTTAAATTCTTTCTCCAACTTTTGTCAGCATTTCAAGCAGCACAGCTTTCATTTCTCCAGCCTTCAGTCCTCCCTTCTCAGAATCATTTGACTGTCATTAAATGTTGATGGCTGAATATGCACATATAATCATTACCCTCATTTTATAAATAAATAATATCTAAAACAGTGCTCATCCTGGGTAGCAAAAGGGATGAAATTTGTTTTTGAAACATGCAACATTACCTGATATTTTCAGTTTTGGTGTTTAAAAATCATATACATTAATAATGGGCACCAAATGACTCCCTCAGTTGAACTTATCCTCAAACTGTCAAATAAGTAGGACTTGAAGTAAAAAAATAAATAAAAGGTCCAATCTGAGCCATGGAAAAGGTATGATTCACTCACCTTGAGGAAGTACATTTTTCTTTCAGGCCAGGAGAGTTACCAAGAGCAAGATACAGTATTTCCTTAATTCATCCCTGGAGGATCAAGGCCGGTCATTTCAAATTGGGGCTCGTTCAAAACCTCCCCTTTAATTCATTCTAAAAACTTTCCTTGTGAAATCTCAGGTTAGGAAAACAGGAATCTATTGCCATGGCAGAATTTATCATCAGAACATTCCTAACTCAAGCAGGAAGACACACAAGAAATAACTACAGTAAAAATATCTTGCATTCTTGGGGCAAAGAGGGGTTTAAAGCCCTCCCCTATCATCCCCTCCCACCCTTCAAAGGATGTCCCTTTGCAGGGTGTCTCTATTTTATTTAAGGCCCTAGGTGCTGATTTTGGCTTGGTCATTGTGTTATACTGATCCAACTGCAACCTTTTCTCTTATATTTCCACAAAGTAATGTTCATACATAAAATGTTAATTGAAACCTTATAGTTGTTTTTGTTTTTAGTTTATATCTGATGTTACAAAATCATTAAAGGAAAAAAGCTGCAGGTCTTCACTTACAGTACCATGCACTATGAGAAGCTAAGGCATTCATTTGGCACTAGGGAGAAAAATACAGATACAAGCTAATTTTACCTTTTTCATCATAATTAACATCAATAGAAATAAGTTTGTACCCTTTCCTTGGATTTCTGTAATGCTTAAAAAATAATCACAGAATACTCAGTCTGACAGTTAAAATGTTATAATTAAAACAAAAGATCATAAGGCCTCTGTACAGCCTTGCCAGATTAAGTTAACAATTTGTGGTTAAAATGTACCACTCTCAGACAGAAACATCTTTCAAAATGGCTTTATGACTGACTTTAATCATCAAAAACATTTGCTTTCCTATCCCACACTAATGATCCTTCTACTTCTTGTCATGGACTAAGTAAAAAAAAAAAAAATATATATGAAAAAAAATATATATATCCAGTTTCCCTTTTATTCATCATAAACACCTTATTAAACAAACCAGTGGCCATGGAGCCCATTCTGACTCATGGTAACCCATGTGTGTCAGAGTAGAACTGCACTTAGGGAGGCACTAAGAATGGCCTCTGGAAGAGTAGTTTCCAAATTTTCAAAGATGCCACACAGGAGGATAAGGGAAAGAAAGAGGGGACAAAGATCCAATGTATATACTGGGATTATATTGTACATTCATAGTTTTTATGTCTGGGAGCTGAGAGTCAACGCAGATTGCTGCAATTTAGATAAATTACATTAAAACAGAAATTTAAAAGAATTTTAGAATTTAAGTCCAAAGACAAAAATTCTTGAATTTTTTCTTTGAAAAAAAATTGGTTTAAGATGATTACTACTTTGAATATGTCACCCAGCATAATACAATAATTCTAATAGATTTACTTAACATTATAAATCAGTGACGATTACTAAATTAGCACATTTTTTTCCCAAGTGATCTGCAGCTCTATTGTTTTAAATCCTCCTGATATTATAATGTGTTTCATTTCATAGAAATAATGGAAGCATGAAAACTATCTACAGCAGTTTGGCATGTGCAGAACACGTGGGTATCCCATTACTTTTAATGTTCCTTTTAGAACTTTTTCTTCATTAAATCGTTTAGACTACTGCATGGATAACATGCTGACATAGGCTTTTAACAGAAATAATTTTTTAGGCAGCTGTTTAAAACATTATCAACCTCAAATCATAAGTATCCCTTGTTACATAAACAAAATACTTTATATTCATTTCTTTAAAAAAAAAAAAAAGAAGAAGAAGAAAAACAAATAGCTAAGTGACCAAAATCCAAACACCTTTAAGTTACAGTTACACCTACACAACGTGGTTTGGCTTAGACTGTATTTGAAATCAATTACCAAAAGAAGCAAGAAGACCAAATATAGAATAAAGGGAGGATGAGTTAGAAGGAAGGGTGGTGAAAAGAAAAGCAGAATTTATGAACACATAATTCTACTGTCTGTGATTAAAATCCTTTACTTTTTAGCACCACATTAAACAATTTTACATATCCAGTCACTTAATGAAATCCAACAAACTCTTCCAGAGTTCTGGGGATCTGGTCTTGATAGTTAATGTCATTAGCCCGAACTGCTCGGGCAGCCAGGCACTTGAGACTCATCTTCATTTGAGTTTTAAGTAGTATTTCTGATACTCCAGTTGTACTTTTGTCTAGTGGAGTCTTATTCTGTTTATTTGTCATGTCAGTGTGAGCGCCAGCTTCAACCAGGCTAATAATGATGGAGTGCAAGGTCAAAAAATCACTGATGGGCCTGTTGTACTGAACAATGATATGAAGGGCACTGTTTCCCTCATTGTCCACAGCATTGACTTCAGCACCACAGTCCAGCAGGAGTTTTGTGACTAGAGCATTAGGAAAACTGCAGACATCATTAGTGTGGAAATCATCAACTGGGGTATTTGAGTTGACAGCTAGATGCAGTAAAGTGAACCCCTCCCGAGTTCTGGGATCCAGGTGAATCAGGTTGTAGATCTGCTTATTAATTTTGCACTGATCTTCTTCACTGCACTGTGTTTTGGTGGAGATGCATACTAAATACAGAAAGGTATAGAGATTACATTCATAATTGTCCATAGCATTGTGGACATCAGCATCTGAAATATTTTTTACTCTGTTCATACTTTGTTCTATTTCTAAAACACTGCATCTCAAAACACATTCTATGTCTGGGGCCTTCACTGTTTCATTCAAATGTATCATCTGTGAAAAAACTTGAGCAAATCGAAGAAGATCCTTGTGGGTGTTTCTGTTACCTTTCTGCCTGAGGTGCAGAGCGTGAAGCCACAACTTGATACACTGTTCAAATTCCATATTATCTGCATAAACAGCCCCCCTATAGATGATGGGATGGGAAACATCAATATTGTCAGCACCTAAAATCCGCTCCCGAACTATAAGGCCTTCCATATGAAGAGCATCTCTGTCTTGCCGAATGGATTCCAGTTCCTGAGGATTTCTACATTCAGTTCTATTTCCATAAGCATGGATTGGTGGTAGAACCTCTTTTTCAAGAACATTGTCACCATCTTGAAACCTCTCCAACATGGCTAAATATAAATAGTGATATGTCTTCATGATGTCATAGTTCTCACGGTCATTTGCAAAAGAGGCACCCAAAAGTTCCAAAGCTTCAATCCGACTTCTTCGGTCACAATCAGCATGAGAGAGTAACAGTTCTACAACGTCAGCTTTACAGCTTTCGGCAGCTACTTTTAATGGTGTCATCCCATGGCCGTTCACAACTATAGCAGCACGCCATTTTATCAGCTCTTTCACAATATCTATGTGCCCAGCTTCAGCTGCAAAGTGCAATGCTGTGGCTCCACAATGTGCTTTAGCATTGGGGTCTGCACGTTGTTCTAAAAGGTATCGGACCACGTCAGTGTGTCCCTTATATGCTGCAATCATTAGGCAGGTGTTGTCATACTTGTTGGCAATGCTGATGTTGGCATTATTTTCAACCAAGTACTTAACGATGTCCAGTCTGCCATCAAAGCATGCTGCCCGCAGGGGGGTTGAGTTAGTTACTGTGGTATGGTTCACGTTGGCTCCATGACTGACTAGAAGCTTAACAACTTCAAAATGTCCTGCTCCTGCTGCACACCAAAGAGCAGTGGCACCATCAATGACATACCTACACGAAAAGAGCACACAGTTAAAAACGACAGGCCACACACACTAACATAAACTAAAGGATGTATTCATTTGCACTGACTGACTAAGACCTCTCTCTCCAAAATAGTCATAAAACATCAGTTTTAGTGAGAATAAAATCAGGGAATTTAAGTAAAGCACTTTATAGTACCTTGTACCTAGTATGAGCTCAATAAATGTTAACAACTACTGTTACTGCTAAAGCATATAAACCTAAGAAAAACTCTAAAGAATCGCCAACTTTCTACTAGCAAAATTATATAAATTTTAGAAAACACAGAGGAGATGCATGGAAGTTTATAAATTTTTTACCAACAAGCTGATGCACTGCCTCTCAAGAGCACAGCATGCTCATCCTTCCCAACAGCTCCCATGGGCCACAGTTTCTCCCAACACATCAGTATTACAGCTACCCCAATCCTTATATTGTGTTAGAAACTGTCTTAGGAAGAACAATTTTAAGCAGATCATTTTTCTGTAAGATTATCTAAGCTAATTAAAAATTATACTTACTCTACTACAACAAGAATGAAATAATTACTGCTCCATACAAGATGGATGGGGCTCACATAAATATAATGCTGAGCAAAAGAAGTCAAACAAAAATAGTATATATTATATTATTGCATTCATATGCCTATCTGTAATGTTAGAAGTCAGGATACTGTTACCTTGTCAGGAAATGAATAAAAAGGAACACAGAGGGGATTTTAATAGCCATATGTGTCCACTTATTAGTAAACAAAAGGATGGTGATTCAAACCCACTCAGCAGCTCTTCAGGAGAAAAGACTTGGTGACTGATCTGCCTCCATAAAGTTCAAGGTCAAGAAAACTCTCTGGGACAGTTCTACTCTGTCATGTGTTGAAATTATGAATCAAAATCAACTCAAGGACACATAAAGACAGCATTCATCAAAGACATTTGCAATATATATATTTGACAAATCAATAAGAAAAAAAGCAAACAACCCAATTTAAAAAATGAGTGAAAGGCTTGAATGATACATCACAAAATATATCCAAATGCCAATAAACATATGAAATAGATGCTCAACATAGATCTCACCAGGAAAATGCAAATTAAAACCAAGAGTTACCAATATATACCTATCAAAATAGCTAAAATTAACAAGACTAAGTGTTGCTGAGGATGTGAAGCAACAGAAACTCACTGCAGGTGGCAAGTGCTGGTAGGTATATAATTTGATTTAACCACTTTGACAACATATACTAAAGTTACACATGTACCTACAGAGTCCTTAGGTGGCAGAAACCATTAGGCACTCGGCTACCAACCAAAAGGTTGCTGTTCGAGCACACCCACAGGTGCCTCAGAAGACAGGCCTGGTAATCTGCTTCCAAAATGTCACATCCTTGAAAACCCTGTGGAGCAGTTCTACTGTGCACACACGGGATTACAATGAGTTAGAAAAGATCTGAAGGCAACTAACGTCAACAACAACCCTACAACCCAGCAATTTCAATTACCCAAGAGAAATGATACAAATGCCCACCACAAGACCATTCGTAGCAGCTTTGGTCATATTAGTCAAACACTGGAAACAACCAAAATATGCATCAACAGAATAGATAACTGCAGTACATTCATACAATGGAATACTACACAGCAATAATTTAAAAAAAAAAGAACTATTAATACTTTCAACTACATGGATGAATCTCATAGACATTGTGTTAAACAAAAAAAGCGAGATACAAGAGTATATTGTATGATTCAATTTTCAGTAAGTTCAATTATAGGCAAAACTAATCTAGGGTGATATAAGTCAAAAAAATAATTACCTCTGGGAGTAGAAAAAGGGGGAACTGGAAAAGAGGGTACAAGTGGAAAGGGGGACATAAAGGACACTATACTGGATCATGTTTCAGGGCTATTCATAAAGTTTTCCAGTAATATATCAGACAGTGTTTAACTGCTATTCATAAGGTTTTCAATGGCTAACTTTGAGAAGTAGATGGCCCATCTTAGTCTGAAAGCTCCACTGGAAACCTGTCCACCATGAATGACCCTGCTGGTATTTGAAATACCAGTGGCATGGCCTCCAGCCTCGCAGCAACAGGGAAGGCACGACAGTACAACAAACTGACAGACAAGTAATACCTTATGAGGTGGTGGTGGTGTTATGTGCCGTGGAGTCAGACCCGACTCATAGCAACCCCTCCTTGGGTTTCCGAGGCAGTATCACTACAAAAGTACATTGCTCCATCTTCCTTCCGAGGAGGTTCAAACCCACCAGCCTTCTGGTTAGCAGTCAAGTGCCTTAGGTTAGCAGTCAAGTGCCTTAGGCACCTTAGCACAAGCGCTCCCACCTTATGAGGTAGGTACTACTATTATGCTCCTTTTACAGATCTATAACTAAAAGGTTTACATGAGAATACAAATAGTACTCTGAAAACCCTAAAATGTATCAAATACAAGGAAACAGTATATCATTGTTCAAACACTTGTTTCATTTTAAAAAGCATTTTCTGTAACTGTATATTCATGTATCAAGAAAATAATACACAATACAGTTACATTCACATAATTAGTTACCATTGTTTCTTGTACTGTTTTTTCAAAAATGTAAAATTGTCATGTCAGTAACATGAACCTAAAGTATCTAAAACTTAAGACAATAAATGTCATATAACTCTCACAATTACCCTACACGACAAGTATTAGCCCCACTTTAGAGATGAAAAAAATATGAAATGTAAAGCAAGTAAAGGATTTTTATGACCTCAAACTTTTATATTTATAATGTAAAAGTTAAACTGCAAACATATGCTTCACTTAGTTTTTAAAATGGAAATAAATTGGTCAGTTTAATTAGAGTCTAATAATTTCCATTTTTTCCTTCAGCTATACAGCAATGTGATGGGAGCTTCAAGAAAGTTTCAATTGCCTATTTTTATTGTTGTTGTTGTTGTTGTTATGTGCCCTCGAGTCAGACCCAACGTTTTTATTGAGGCAATTAAAATTTTAAAAAATATTTTATGAAAAAATGTATTGAAAAACAAGGGTGCCTGATCTCACCCATTCTATTCAATACTGTATTCGAACTCAAGCCAGAGCAATAAAACAAGAAAAAGAAACAAAAGGTATCCAGATTGGAAAAGAAGTAAAATTATCTATATTCACAGATGATATCCTACACAGAAAATCCCAAAGATCTACAAGAAAACTTCTAGAGCTAACAGAGGAATTTAGCAAAGTTGCAGGGTACAAGGTCAACAAGAAAAATCAGATGGATTTCTATACACCAAAAACCAACTGCCACTGACTTGATTCTGACTCACAGCAACCCTATAGGACAGAGTAGAACTGCCCCATAGGGTTTCCAAGGCTGTAGATCTTTACAGAAGTACACTGCCTCATCTCTCTCTCCCAAAGAGCAGCTGGTAGGTTGAAACTGCTGCCCTTCTGGTAGCAGCTCAACGCACAGACCACTATGACACAAGCAGTGGGAAATTTAGGGAAACAATTTCTTTTACAATAGTATCTAAAGGCAAAATACTGAGGAATCTATCTGTTTTGGTTACCAAGTGCCACTCTGACAGGAATATACCACAAATGGGATGGCTTTATCAAACAAGAGTTTATTCTCTTACACTTTTGGAGGATTTAAGTCCAAGTTCACGTGCCAAGCTCTAGGGTCTGGGTGAAAGGCCCTCAACCTTGGGTTTCAGCTCTGCCTCCTGCTCCTGGCCTACTGAAGCTAGAGGCTTTTTCTTCACTCAGCTGCTGGCTGCTGAGGCTGACAAATCCAGGTTCAACAAGTAACAAGGCACAGTCCTGATGTTACCAAACCACACAGCAGGCCATTAAGTCAAATAGATTAAAAGTCCCAAGACCAGGAGAGTATGGCAGGCTGCTGACCAATGACTCAGCTACATGCAGGGTTCAAGCGTGCCATAAGCTAGAGACCATTCCCAAAGCTGTTTCTTATATATGGGAAGCAGACCACATCCCTAAAGCAGCTACTCGGCTGCTTGTGGTAGATCTTACCATGGAGCTGACTGCCAGTCTCATCATAGGAAATAACTACCACCAGCTGCCCAGCCACTCAACCAGGCCCAGCCAACTTGATACACAACCTTAACTACCACAATATCTAATCAGGGACGTGAAGGACTCATAAAATTAAAACTATAAAACACTGCTGAAAGAGATTTAAGAAGATTTAGAAGAATTAATATACTTAAAATGTCAATATTACCCAAAGCAATCTATAGCAATCTATAGATTCAATGCAATCCCAATCAAAATTCCAACAGCTTTCTGTATAGAAATAGAAAAACCAATTCTCAACTTTGTATTGAATGGCAAGAGATGTCAACTAGCTAAAGCAATGCTGAAAGAGAAGAATAAAATAGAAGGACTCACACTTTCTGAATTTTAAACATACTATGCAATTATAGCAATCAAGACAGCCTGGTAATGTTATAATAATACATATTAAACCATGTCTTAGTTCTCTAGTACTACTATAACAGCAATTTCACAAATGGATGACTTCAAAAAACAGAAATTTATTCCCTTATTCTTTAGGAGGCCAGAAATCCAAATTTAGAGTGTTGGCTCTAGGGAAAAACTAGGTTAGGAGTCCAAGTTCACAGCACTGGCTCTAGGGCCTGGGTGGAAGCTCCTCAACCATGGTCTTCAGCTCTGCCTCCCAGGCCCACTGGAGCAAGCTGGAAGCTTCTGACTCACGCAGCTGCTGCAGATTGTTGGCTCACAAGCTGTGAAGGCAACAGTCCAAGATTGGCAGGCAACATGGCAGGCCACTGACACAAGTTCAGACTGGAGATGATGTTGAGCCAAATGCAGGATCCTCTGGTGGCATAGTGCCTAAGACATTTGACTGCTAACCAGAAGACTGGCAGTTTAAACCACCAGCCACTCCTCAGAAGGAAGGTTGGGCAATCTACTTCCATAGTGATCCGCCTCAGAAACCCAAGGAGGGGTCGCTAT